CCTACACCCATCCACCATAGCCGACCACTGCAACCCTTCTTCCACCTTCATCACCTACACCCATCCACCACAGTCGACCACCTCGAACCTTCTTCCTCCTCTATCACCTACACCCATCCCCCATAGGCAACCGCCCCGACCCTTCTTCTACCTTCATCACCTACACCCATCCACCATAGCCGACCACCGCGACCCTTCTTCTACCTCCATCACTTACACCCATCCACCATAACTGACTACCCCAGCCCTTCTTCCACCTTTATCACCTACACGCATCCACCATAGCCGACCACCCCAACCCTTCTTTCACACCCATCCGCTCGAGAGTCAGAGGAGGCGCAAAGGAGCACACGGAGTCCGGGTAGGGTCGGTTAAGGTGGATCAAGGGTCAAGGGCGATTAGGATGTGAAGCCTCTCGTTCCCACTCTCTCGCTTCTCTTCTTCTTCCCTTCCTCTTCTTCTGCTCTTTCTCCTTCTCTCTCTCGCTCTCTCTTTCTCTCTCTCTTTCTCTCTCTCCCCCTCGCCTCCTCTCTCCCCATGATCTCTTTCTCCCACGGTCCTCGACCCTTAACTCTCTTCCCTTCCATGGCGCGTAACTAACCTCTACCCTCACCTGTTACATTGCCAGGGGACGAAGTAACGAACTTGATCCTCACCTGGTGGAAAGCGAGGGCAAGGGGAGGGCAGCGGTCCCTTGTGCCACCAAGAAGAAGAAGCACACTTGATCAGCCATCTCCCTTGGAGGTGACTCTAGTCCTGCTTCCTCCGGGCTGATTGTCGTCAGACCGGGGAAGCCTTGGGCAAGCCGCAGGTCGACCCTTCCTCTTTGTGTGAAAGAAGGGCTCTGGTTACCTGGCAGGCGATTGGGATTCGGGGCTAGTCCGGGTTCCGATGAAAATCCCGCGGCGGAGTGATCCGACCGACACAAGTGCTCTTTTTCCTTTTCTTCGGAGCCCAGCGGGCTCCGTACACCGCACTTAAATGCCTGAAGGAACCTCATATGAACGCAAACGGTAATCGAGAAGGAACAATCCTGCCCTATGAATGGACACACAAGCAAAGATAACGGAATGAAGGGAGTTGCTAGACTCCAAGAAAAACTAGCTCACCGTTGAAGATACTCACGAAAAGGAACTAGACACTATGTATGGAGCTTAGGGGTGAGTGGCACACACTGTCCTGAGTGAAAACCTGTGAGCAATGGGTAGGAAGCGTTGGGTGCACCAAGGGAAAGACACTTGTTCTATGTGTGTCCCACTTAGGACTTGTGATTGCATGATGGGAATTCGAGCGTCCTGCCATTTGGAAGGAAAGAAGGGGTCTGCACCGGCCACTGCGGGTTGCCAAACGTCGTTCTCTTTTGCAGGCTGCCGTTTGTTCGTATGCGGGGGTCAGGCCACCGAGCTGTCTAACGGGAGTTTGTCACGCCGGGTGCTTAGTAGCATCCTCGTCCCCGCGGTGATGGGCTTCGGCTCGATTGATCTGCCGGGCGGGGTGTGAAACGTTTCTTTAGGCGGGGCCTAGCCTGTGGACTGGCGGAGGGAGTACCGCTGCATGCGGGCAAAGACGGAGCCTCGGAGACGATTAGTAGTTTCTCGTAGTTTGGTTTGGGAAAGGCTGTTCCTTGTCAGACCGATGGAAGTGAATGCCTGGACGGATGGCTCCAATGGCCCTACCGAGATGTGCGGGGTGATTCCCGAGATAAACGGTGGGTACACGAGCGGCAAGTCGGGATGGGGTATTCTGGGCAAGAAGGTGAGGGCGACCCCCCACTGGAGTCTGGGTACCGCGCTCACGACGGTTGAGCTGTGCTTGAGGTATGGAATAAAACTCTGCCGATAGTAACAGTGGAGAGACCATTTCCGGGAAGAAGGTCGGTGAGGAGATGACTGACCTGTGTGCGACGTTTGCCTGAATTTTGCTTTTGTGCCTCCCTCTGTAAAGTTTCCTGATAAATGTTGGATGGGGACTGAGCTTCTGAGTCTATTCTCACCTCCAAATCTAAGTCCGCACGAGTGAGAGAACATGATGATAAAGGTCGGATAGGAGTCGGGAGGAAATGGAACCACGAAAAAAGAATGTCGGCTGAGGGTGACCAATTGAGGGTATGATGGGGTAACGACATCTGGGACATAGGTAGGAAATGCTGAGGAGACCCAGGGCGGGGGGTCTGAAAATAATTCTCATCTAGGCGGGAGGCAATCTAACTATGAGGGGCCGTGTGGTGCACTCGTGTGGAAACAGGATAGGCGCCGGAAAAACAAGATGGCGCGATGGTTGTCGCCCCCTGTCTACTCTAGCAGTCCGGAAATGCCCATAGATGTAAGGGAAGGGGTATCTGTCGTCCTCCCGGAGGAAGGAACGTGGACGGACCTAGAGCCAGCTTATGAAACCGTGATGCTGGACGAGAAGGACGCGTTCCTCTGGATAGAGACAATCTGGACTAAGGTCAGCCTGACAAGACTTTCACCCAGTCTGATGGACCTAGAATTCCGGGGAACGGTGGAAGCTCGAGGATCGGTCTACGTATCTCAGGAAATGAAAAATGCAATGGTAGTGGGACGAGTATTGGGCACGATACCAGATCAGTTGTTTAAGCAAGCGGAACGGGAAGTGGTATGGGCGGCATGTCAGCGGGTGAAAATGGAGATGGAAAAGATGGAGGTGCGAGTGGAACTTGGAGACCGGAAAAGTATGAGACGCCCCCTTAGGACAATGAGATACGTGCTACCCCCGTTTCTAGTGGATGTAGTCTTTGGGACCACGGATAGATTGGAACGGATATACCGGTCGATGATGCGCCTGAGGCTGTACCAATGTGCTAGACATGACTTCTTTAGACTGTCGGTGGAAGCGGGGCCGTTTGAAGGAAACTGGGCGGAAGAATTGACTGAGGTATTAAACCTCCTCAGCGTGGACAAAATCTTTGTTCCCAGTCCGGTGCATGGGCAGATAGTCTACCAGAATGAGGCGGCAGGGGAAACCTTCTTGGAGGGAGTGAAGGACATGTTCCCAGACCAAGAAGGGGATTTCAACGATAATGAGGACGGGGACGAGATGGAGGATTGGGACTTCTGAGAAAAGGGAAGGGACTCACCCGGGGAATGGGCTGCCGACTATGTGCAGGTAGGGAACGATGGCCCGGGAGCGTGAGCTATGGGACTGCACACCCAAAGGATGGGAACCGAGACGGATCGGAGGGGGAGTAAAGATGTCTATACCAGCAGATCATGAATGGAGGGGGACCACGTGTGACTGGGTAGGATCAGAAATTGTGCCCGACCTATCGTACCTATGGATAAAACGTGTTTGGAACCCGCTAAGGGAAGAGGAAGGCTGGGAAGAGATTGCGGAAGGAAGGGTGGAATCGGTCGGGACGGTCGTTCTGTCCGAACAAGGTTGGCACCTATTTTGCACAACGCTTGCAGCAGGGCAGAACCCGATGTGGCTTTTAGAAGGTGCTGAGACAAGGGCTTGACGGGCGGACGAGAGATTTGCTAACAAAGGATGGGATGTGGTCGGTAGTAGAGTTTTGATGGGAGGATGGAAGGAATTTAGGTCCCCCTGCCAACGAGTCAAGACCTGGGTACCCGAGTTCGTAACAGATTGGTTTGGGGGTTTCGTCACTATGGGGCGGGTGCACGTGAATTGCGCTTGGTTGACGGAAGAATTCTATAAAACGTCCTTGAAATTTGGGCCCTTCCCTGGCGATAGAGCCTGGGAGGTCCTCATCATTTTGGACATCGAAAGGAATGACCGGCTGGAAGTGGCCCCGGAAATCAGAGAGGCAATAATCCGCCGCGAGGTAGTTGTCACACCCTGCTATGTAGATGATGTGTTTAAGTTGTTCGAGGTACTGTGGTTCGACTGAGAGTGGAGAAAATCGCGGGTTAGGAAAGCATGGAAAAATTGCTAAGATAAGGGAGTGGGGTGTTTGGTCATTGTAGGGTTGGGTGCGGATTGTGAGCTAGAAGACCGAGGGCAAGCACGCGATGGCACAAAGAAGGACGTTTCTTGAAGATCGCTCCCTAGCCATTGAGCCACCTAGGAAAGTGGAGGGCGGAGTAGAAGTTAGTCTGCCGACCGCAAATGAGGGTTGGCACCTGGTGGTGGACTGGGTCGGGGTTGAACTTACAGAAAATATGGTTTACTTGGTAGCGAGGGTCGATTGGCGAGCGGATGAAAATGGGGAATGGAACCCGGACCCGCGAGGGCATGTGCGTGCGGAAGGGCGATTGTATGTGTCAGAGGGCGGATGGCGAGAGTTCGGAGTCCGGTTGGCATCGGGGGAGGATCCACTGAGTATGTTCGAAGGGGCGTGGCAGTTAGTGTGGCGGGCAGGGTTCGAATTTGCAGACCCGGAGGCTGATGACGTAACGACGAACCTTAGGGTAGCTATGGTTGGGAACTTCGAATTGCCCAGTGAAAACGTCCGGATGAGATTGCCACCATTTTTGCTAGAGAGGCTAGGCGGGGTGGAGCTTGTTAGGAGGGCTGTGGCCGACCTCGCCAACCTGGCGTTTGAGGACGCGTTGGTTCACCAAAAATATTATCGGGCCTTTCTAGAAATGGGGTCATTCAGCGATGAACATAGGTATGAGGTGTTGCGGATCCTGCGCAGTGTTTACCACCAGGCCAAGAGCTCCGGTTGTTAGCAATGAAGTCCTATGGGGTGTTGTTCGACGAGAAATAAGCCGGGGAATGACTTACTTAGATGACCTGTACCGCCTGTATGAGCCAATGGAAGTAAAGACAGGCCGGTAGGAGAGGCAAAAAAAAGAGGACGGAGTAGAGAGGAAAAAAAGTATTAAGGTTAAGAACCGGGGAGTTGCCTGGGTGAGGACGAGGAATGGATGGAATAAGCAAAATTCGCTTGTTGTTTAAAACTGTGCAGGGGACCGCTAATCAACAATGGCAATGAGACGCGCACAGATGTCGCAACGGCCCACGCACCCTCGGCCATCCACGGAAAGTGGAGGCGGATAAGAGGTATCGCTCCCGGCAAGCTACATGGTCCGAGGAATTGACACTGAATGGAGAGTCGTAACCTTGGGGAGGGACCAGGCGTTCATGATGGTAGAATGTTTGTGGAGTGGGATGAGGTTCGATAGGGGACCAGGGGACGACCTGTATATCGACCTAAGGGTAACGGGAACCGTATAGCTGCCGGAGGTCGGATGGCACATGCTAGGAACGGAATTGGCACTAGGGCATGGGCTGTTACCAATCTTCCAAAGGGCTACGAGGATAGTGGATCGAATAAGCCAGAAGGTGAGAGAAAGAAGGAACGTGGGGCTGAGAACCCGGGTGGAGGTAGGAGGATGGTGAGAGTTTAAGGCCCAAATGACGGGACTGCGGTGCTGAGTGCCTCGCTTCATGGTGGACTTGGTATTTGGCAGCCTCTCGAGGGCAAGAAGCCTGGTGGAGTCGACTCTAGTCTGGAACCACTACTTTCGTCCGCAGACGACGAGGATGTTGTACAATGTGTCAGTTAGGCACGGGCCGTTTTGGGAAAATCAGGCCCGTGAACTACTCGAACTCATCGAAATCCTGATATTCGGATTACCACGCATGGCGTTTGAGGAATACGAACCAATAATCGTTAGGGAAATAGAGATGGGAGAAAACTACCTTGCCGGGGTGGCTGACCTGTTCGAAGAACCGGATGAGCCAGACAGACCTGAGAGACCGGCGTGAGAAATGGAAGTACCAGGGAAAAAGGAAAAGGTGGAAAATCGGAATGAGGAGCTAGCCGTCAGCAAGGAAGAAGTGGTCGGAGTTCCGTCCTTCCTGAGATCGTGGCAGGAGGGAACTGGGAAGACCACCTGCGCTGAAAAGCACTAGGGCGTCCAGGTGTCAGGGAGTCAAAAGGGCTACCCCCGAGAGGAGAGCCCCTAGCCTCAGGCACCGCCCTAAGGGACCGGGGCACGGCAGTAACAAAACGCCAAACCTCGGCAGCCAGCCTTCCGACAGAAGACAGACAGAATGACGCCTTGTAGGAAATCGTGGGGTAAGTCGTCCCGACAAAATAAGATGGGAAAGCATGGAAATAAGTAAGAATAAGGGAACCTTAGGGCCCGGGAACTAGGGAAGCTATGAACAACCAGCCGTTTCGCAATTTTTTATTTTTTTTTCCATGTGCAGGGTAGGTAAAGGGATGGCATCGGAAGAAGAGGCTGAGGAACTGCGAAGCAAAGGAAGTCAGGGCACGGGTAGGGGTACGAAACCAAACGAAGCATCAGTAAAGGATCGAGAGTTGGCGAAACCAGAGGGAACCAGGGGAGATGGGAAGGATCTTTCGACAGGCGAAAGTTTGGGGAAAACCGGGGGTAGCAAAAGAGGACCTCAAGAAAATAGGGAGGGAAGAGACAATGGAAGATCGAGTCCTCGAAACTCAGAAGAGACTACGCCCAAGAAAATGAAGGTCTCGGACGCCCGCCGTAAGCTGGCAGAGATAGAAAAAAGGACCGCAGAATATAAAGCAAGGCTCATGGAGGAAATGATGGCTGGGAATGAAAGGGACTCTCTGGGAGAAGGGTCGCGAGAGGAACGTAGGGCCAGCCAGGGCGAAATCAGGCACGGAGGGAAGGATAACATCCATAAGGGAACGCCCAACAAAAAAAGGAAGGAAAAGCGGGACGCTCCGACCGTGGAGGCAGAAAAGGCTACGATCCCACCTGCTATGGACAGCGGGGCTAGTCGCCTGCCCGCCATACCAAAAGTAGCAAAGGGTTGTGACGGACTTTGGAGTCTTAGAGAAAGGGTGCTAGGATGGTTCGACCCTGAGGGTATGCCAAAGGCCGGGGAAAAGCAGGGGGATAGCAAGGAAGGAGAAGGGACCAGCCCGGCTGGTGAAGCAGGTAGCTCTGAGGGAGGCCTTAAGAAAGTAGTAGCTACCCTCACCCGGGCTCTGAATAAGAATCAGGGGTATCTGGCCGATGCCAAGAAGAAACTCACTCTTGACGGGGCGAACATTACGGAGTTCCTGATAGACTATGAAAACCTGGCAGCCTTGTTGAAATGGAGTGAGGAAGAGAAGATGGACCATTTGGGGCAGCAAGTGCCACAGAGTCTGGGTAGAGACATTATGGTCATTGTCGCCGCTAGTGGATCTTGGAAGGAAACCAGGAATGAGATGATGAGGAAGTACCTAAAGGCGGAGAAGATGGCAACAGAAGCCGAGTTGGCGGCGGTCCAGAGGAAGAACTATGCGACTTACAACGACTTCCTAAGGGCCTTTACTTTAGTTGCGTTACGAATTCCCGGGGTAACAGACCGGATAATGAGTAAGTATTTCCTCAGGCAGTTCTCCGAATTCGACAAAGATAAGATTCTGTCAGCCTACCAGCAGACTAGCAAGTTCGAGTACACTAGGGATGTGGACTTTAGCACGGTAACAGATCTCGTAGAAAAGACAGTGGTGACCGATACGTTAGCCCTGCTCAAGGAAGGGGAGGTTATAGACTTGACTGGGGATAAGGTCAAGAAGAGGATAGAGAGCCTGCACAAACGAGTGCATGGGGTTGACAACAAGATGGATATAATGGAAAATGCGCTATTAGTAATGCAGGCGCAAGTGTCCCGACCCGCCCTCCCGCTCCAAGAGGCCGTAGTTCCGGCAGCCGTGGCGAGCCGAGGGTATGGCAGAAGGGATCCAGCCAATGAGCAATGCAGGTATTGTACAATGGTTGGACATTTCGTGCGGACTTGCCCAAGACTCAACCATGATATAATGAGACAGAGATGCAGCAGGTCCCTTAAGGGTGAGATTCTCGGACCCCAGGGAGAGCGTGTCATTTGGAATTCGCCAGGAGGAATGCGGAGTGTCGTCATCATCCTGAATAACTTGGATATAGCTGCCATAGAAGCCGAACCGGTAGCTGACATTGTTTCGGATCAGCGGAGGAGGCGAGAGCGAGACTAGGGCGGATAGTCAGACTAGTGTAGCATACATAGTATATACGTCGGTATATAAGTGATTCGTTAAGTATAGAAAGGGGGCGCCTCGCGTGTGCGCTTTTGTTGCAAGAACCACCGGGATGACGTCTTGGCGAAATTCGAGGGGCCGAAAGGGTTTCGTAACTCTTAGGGGCCAAGGCGTGATGAAAAATTCATAGGAAGTCGAGATAAGGTATCAACCAGCGGGCAACCGGAATCAAGCAAAGCATGGGTGTCCGAAATGGGGGAATAAGCGGTTCTGCTTGTCTGTCCTGCTTGTGACACTGGTAAGAGAGACCATCAAAACAGTAAGACAGGTAGAGGGCGAGAAAATATATAGGGTAGGGAGAACCCTAAAGTGCACAAGGAAGCGAGAGGACAAGGATTAAGCTGATTTGAAAACGATAACATCTCTGGAACTGACAGCGATAGGAAAATTGTGAGAGGTAGAGTCTAAAGCAAGTTATCCTTCCTTCGATTGTATGGCATGCAGGTCTGATACGCTATGGACGTCGCAAGCAACCGAAGGGGCCAGAGGAATAAACGTGACCGGATAGGCAACATGGATGGTCGGAATCCGGGGGAACAAGACGGTAGCATAAATGCCAACCGACGGTTCAACAGTTAGGGGGTCAAAGACAATGCGAGGGGGATTTTGGAAAAAGGGAGTCATACCGGGAGGAGGCCTGCAGAATCTCGGGGAATGAGGCCAACCGTAGTCAGAAATACGGAAGAGTCACAGACCTCGGTGGGTGGAGTGACAAAGAAAAAGAAGGTAGCGGATGCCCTACGAAGACTCAAGGAAGTAGAACATATGGTAGCAACTTACAAGGCTGGTGTAATTGAAAAAATGATAAGGGATATCGAGGTTGAGAATGACAATGAGTTGTATAATGATGAATGTCAGGGTGAGACGCAACAAAAGCACATGATTGGGAAACCCGGTGATTGGGGAAAGGGTGGAAACGCTGGAGAAAAGGGAGAGGTGCGACCCTTCGAGGTAGGGACCACAAAGGAAATAAAGGAGCGAGGAACACACTGTGGAATGAGTCAGGAGACAGGGGGACAATCCTTGTCAAACGAAGACTATAGTGACCTGTGGGACCTAAGGGAGAAACTGACAGTCTATCTCAACCAAGAAAGGGGTGTCAGGACAGAAAGTCGCCAGCGAAACTACGAAAAGTCTGAGGTCCTAGAAACAACTGGGTACGGAGTGAAAAGGGGGTCGAAGGAGCAGCGAAACTACGAAAAGTCTAAGGTCCTAGAAACAATTGGGTACGGAGTGAAAACGGGGTCGAAGGAGCTGCACGATCAAGGCGAAGGGGCAGACAACCGGAGGGAAAGGATAGGGGATACCCTCCAGGTGGTGCAAACCCGCGTATCTCGAACTCCGTTGGTGCCCCAAGAAGCCCTAGCTCCAAGACCCGAACGCCGAACCGGTCGGAGAGATCCTTCGAAGGAATCATGTCGATATTGCACCTTGATGGGGGATACCCTCCAGGTGGTGGGAACCCGGGTATCTCGAACTCCGTTGGTGCCCCAAGAAGCCCTAGCTCCAAGACCCGAGCGCCGAACCGGTCGGAGAGATCCGTCGAAGGAAAGTTCAGCTCTTCCCAATGTCTTTTTACAAACTCAGCTCTTCCAATATCTTTTCCAAGGCTCAGCTCGTCCAATATTTTTTCCAAGGCTCAGCTCTTCCAATATCTTTTCCAAGGCTCAGCTCTTCCAATATCATGCATCTCAAGCAGTCATGCAAGGGGACCCAAGTGCCAATTCTAAAGAATGACCCTTGTCAGGGGCCATTCCGAACAACCTGGTGAGGGTCGCTCTTTCCAGTTTCAAGTCGAACATCTTGGTTAGGATCATTCTTATCCATTGCAATCGGACAGCCTGGTTAGGACCATCCTTATCCATTCCAATTGGACAACCTGGTTAGGGTCATACTTGTCCATTTCAATTGGACAGCCTGGTTAGGGTCATCCTTGTTCATTGCAATGTTAGCGCCCGAGGGGGTGGGCCTCGAGGACACGGATCCTATTCTCGTCTCAGGGTTTAGAAGGTGGCCATTATCTCGAGTTTTTTACGCATGCTTTCTCCCTTCTGCCTTGTGCCCATCATCATTTTCATGTCCTACTCATACACCCGACTTAGCGTCTAGTACTCAATTTGAGGCTCTCGGCCCCAAGCAGCACTAACCTGCCCGGTCGTTCAACCATTGCAGAGAATATTTGTCTAATCCATATTTACTTTATCTGGCTTCTCATGCCCTTTCATTGCTTGTGAAATTGTTTGTAACTGGTTCGATTAGGCTCCTAGGGAAGAGGTTCCACGTGCCTCTTTACCCATAGGTCCCCTAACCTCTCTCGTGTTCGACCAACGTTTAATGTCTTGCTGTCCTCAACGAACCAAATTTCATTGCCTCTTTTCAAAATACGATCTTAGTTTTTCCCAGGAGTCGTAATACAACCGCCATGGCTAGTCTCACACCAATGTTTCCCGTCAACCCTTGTCTTTGCAGAAACCTTTCAGGGTAGTCTGTCAACAAAAGGTGACTCAAAAACTTGCTCATCCGTACTAAGTCCCGACTAGTGCCTGCCTCATTTTGTTTTGACGGTCTGATTCCCACTGGCCAAGCCCTACCGCCAACATTTCTAGCATGCATTTGTCAAACTCACATCCTGCCTATTCTCTCTTGTTGTCACCAGTCCTTATCCCAATGTCCCAGCCAGTACTTAATATTTTCAGCATAAACTTGCGCAAGAGGTAGCATCTAGAGATCGACATCAACCTATTTTGCCTTTGTCAAAGTTTGCATAATCTAAACCACACCCCCAAGAAACGACCGAGATGACTAATTGACCTTCTTCTATCCCACATACAACCTGTATACAAAGCTTCTCTTGTCGCGGCTCAATTTTCCTTCTTGGTCCCTGGTCCCCTAACCTCTCTAAGTTCCTTTAATTGCGGGGCGTACCCCAGCCATACTTATAAGCGAGAACATCTATCATTTCCTTTTTGCGGACATCTCAAGCGTTCTTCCGTCGTGGAAAGTCGACACTGTGACCGACTCGCCCCTCCTCATCTCTCTCTCGACCCTGATGGCCCAGGTATTACATTAATCCATTGATAAAACCACTGGCTGCGTAATTGTCAAAAATCTTTATGCCACTTTGTAATGTTCCCTTACAGTTATCAACCTAAGGTCCTCCTTCCCTCTTCCAACTTGGCTACTTCCTCCGCCTTTCTCTCGCAATAAGTATCCGATTCGATAGCTTGGCGATGATCCCCTCAAACCTTTTTTTTTTTTTTTTTTTTTTTNTTTTTTTTTTTTTTTTTTTTTTTTTTTTTGCTTTCCCGTTTCTTGTCCTCAACTATCCTCGTCCTCACAACCTCTGGTCCTCACGTCGCATCGCTCGTTTTGATGCCCTTTCGCTGTTTGAGGTCCGGTCGCGTCCCTCCTTCCTTTCTCAAGCGGTGGTCCCATTCTATGAGACTCAGCCTTGGAAGAGATATTGCATTGAGCATTGGACTGAGATTGAGCATTGGACTGGGATTGAGCATGCGAGTGAGAGTGAGCATTGGAATTGGATTGAGTATTGAAAATTGCACTGCATAAACAAGGGACCCTAAGCAATTTGAAATGGACTTGGAAAGAGCATTGAAATGAAATTTCTCTTTTCTTCCAGTCTGTGGCCTCAGCAAGAGGGGGATACCGGTGCATGCACCGCGACCCCAAGACCTCTATCCCTTAAAGGGAAAAATCTCAGCGCGACCTATTCCCCTTACAAGAGGATGAGGGTTAAAGGACCAAAGCACCTACCACTTGGATCGGTGCGGGACGTTCGGAACCACCTCCGACAACGAGCTCTAGTCGGGGAGTTCAAATTGCGCCTCCTGTTGAATGCCTAAACGTCAAAGGGCGAGAGGGCCAAATGGGGGAGAGAGTCATTTTCATCTAGTCTATTTTGCTACTCTCCAACCACATGCTATATCATAGAGGGGTGCCATGGTCGTTTGGATCGGACCACGGCTGTCCGCGCTAAGTTGGGCGGCACTGTCCAAGGGGAGAGGCTGGGCGAGGTACCGGGTGGAGTCCGTCACCACCACGTGGCATTGACACTACCCTGCCAGTACATTACAACCGTTTCGGGACTAATTGCGAGGTCTTCGTAACTGCACTCGCGGACTAATTGAGAGCCCCATCTCTCTTAAAATGAAGAGGCCGGAATCCAGAAAATTACCACTCGGGAGGAACGATTCGCGAGGAACGCACTTACGACTAGACAAGGCCCTGGAAGGCTTGGATTGGACCTGCCTGCCAGACGTGAGGAGGAACCTCAGTATTGGTGCTTGCCACGTAAGAGAAGAAATATCGGACTAAGTGGAAGGATGAGGCGCCACCCGCTGGGGAGGAAATGATCACCCCTCCTTTGTGAAGCGAGTGGGCTTACGTCCTTGACTCAGTCGGCGGGCCAAAGGTCTCGTTCCTCCAAGTGAGGACCAGTCGCGCGATGGGGACATCGCGTTTTGAGTGGGGGGAAGGTGTGCTATCTACCAATAAATACGCACGGAAAAAGACTTGTAATTGGGTTTTGTAAGGATCCGAGAAAAAAGGGTCTGGCAAGACGCCTGGAAAGAAAGAAACTTGTGATTGAGTCTGCATGGGCCTGAGAAAAGGGGGCCTGGTAGGACGCCTAGAACAGAAAGGACTTGAGCAAGTGATAAATGCGATCTTGAGAAAAGGGTCCGGCAAGATGACTGGGGAAGAAAAGATTGGCATGATTGACTTTGCATAGACCTAAAAAAAAAAGGACTGACAGGATGGGAAATAGATGAGTAATTGGCTTGTATGGACTTGAGAAGGAGGCCTGACAAGGCGTCTAGAAAATAAATGTACAAGGAATGAGCCAAGCTTTGCACATGGAAAGTCAATTAAGCAAAAGGCAGGAATGGACAGAGGATGATATGCATGCGGAATTGGCAGGACCTGAGAAAAGTCGGAGAAAACAACCCGGGAAAATGCATGTGGATTTGGCTAAGCCTGAGCCTCGGGAAGGGGAAAGTTGTATTGAAAACATGAAGAGCGGATTGCTTGTAAGAGTAATGAAGGAGACGAAACCAAAATAGCGCCTGCTCGAGAATGTTTTCTCAATGAAATGGGAAGATAGATTTGAGATTACGAAGCACTTAGGGGAGTTGTGCCTGTGTTCATTGATTCGAATTGGGTAGCACCGC